AGATGGGAAGTTGAGGCTGCAGTGAGCTGTGATCCCGCCACTGCACTCTAGTCTGGTCAACAGAGTAAGACCCCATCTCTAAAAATAAATAAAATAAAATGTAACTTCAGGGACTGCTAACTGTATATTCTCCTACTTTTTATATGCTAATAGTAAGGAAACATGAAATACAATACAAATTAAATTTCACTTTTAAAATACATTACTTCCAAGAAAGTGAAAATATTTGAACTTACTGAATTAATCAACCAGTTTAATATATTCAGGGTTGATGACCAGGGAAGCAGCAGGATGTATTAACAGAGAAGGCACTGACGCAGGAGGTCTGGGTTCAAATCTCATTTCACCACTTGCTGCTTTTTGATCTTGGGTAAGTCATTTAACTTCTTACAGCCTGTTTTATTTCTTAATGGGGGTTAAGCACAACTACATTATGGGGACACTTTTGGGCATCATTGATATAATTGAAATCAACTATGATAGCCAAATCAATGTTTATTGAATTCGAATTTTTTTTCAATTGCCAACTTAAGGGACTAGATTTTTGGTTCTTCAGAGCTCTAAAATTGTTTCTGTATCAGCATTTTCAGTGTGCCCCAGGGAACACATTCTCCAGACTATTAGGTTTTGCTAGGAATAAAGGGGTCCTTTTGGTTTTATTGAGGGATTTTTTTTTTTTTTTTTTTTTTTTAGATGGAGTCTCCTCTATCACTAACACTGGAGTGTAGTGGTGCAATCTTGGCTCACTGCAACCTCCACCTTCCAGGTTCCAGCAATCCTCATGCCTCGGCCTCCTGAGTAGCTGGGATTATAGGCACCTGCCAGCATGCCTAGCTAATTTTTGTATTTTAGTAGAGATGGGGTTTCACCAGGCTGGGCAGGCTGGTCTTAAACTCCTGACCTCAGGTGATCCACCTGCCTCTGCCTGCCAAAGTGCTGGGATTACAGGGATGAACCACCATACCCCGACTTTTTTTTTTTTTTTTAAAGATGGGGTTTCACCATGATGGCCAGGCTGGTCATGAACTCCTGGCCTCAGGTGATCCAACCACCTCGGCCTCCCAAAGTGCTAGGATTACAGGCGTGAGCCACTGCACCCAGTCTACTTTTTTTTTTTTTTAATTAAAATGAGTCTGTATTTATGCCTGTTATATGTTCAATCCATTCAGCAATTTACACTACCATTTAATTTCTAATTGGACAAAATTAGAAAATAATAAAAAAAATGTTGAACAATAAGTAAATAGTTAAATCTTGGTTTACCAACTTTATAAAATATTATGTAACTAAACAAAATTAAGTAAATAACTATTAGAGTTATAGTATTATAGCTAACACAGTTTAAAAATACTATGTAATATTGACTAGGCAGCACATGATAAATGCTCACATATACAAGAGTAAAACATAAAAGGCAGAATTCAAAGTTGTCTGTACTAGGGACAAAGACTAGAAGAAAAACGAAAGATAAAAATAAATTAGTAGGATTGGAGTATTTTTCCTTATGTTATTTTTACTATATATATATATATATTTTTTTTTTTTTTTTTACAGTGCCACAAAATCTAAGAATACCTACAGCTGATTCTGTACTATGCTGTAATCTTAAATAGATAAACATGGAAATTTCTTCACACTTTAAATCTTTGACTTTTAAAAGATGACTTGAATCAATATTTGCTGTCTAAAATAGATGTGTCAACTTTTAGGACTAAAGTCTTTATTTTTATATGGACAGGTTCTCAGTCTGTTGCCCAGGCTGGAATGCAGTGGCACAATCACAGCTCACTGCAGCCTCAACCTCCTGGACTCAAGTGACCTTCCCATCTCAGCCTCCTGAGTAGCTGGGACTACAGGCGTGTGCCACCACACCTGGCTAATTTTTTTGTTCTTTGTAGAGGCTAATTTTTGTATTTTTTATAAAGATGAAGTCTCCTTATGTTGCCCAGGCTGGTCTCGAACTCCTGGACTCAAGCAATCCTTTTGCCTCAGCCTTCCAAAATGCTGAGATTACAGGTGTGAACCACTATGCTCAGCCAGGATTAAAGTGGTTGTTTTTTTTTTTTTTGAGATGGAGTTTTGCTCTTGTCATCCAGGCTGGAACGCAACGGCGCAGTCTCGACTCACTGCAACCTCTGCCTCCCAGGTTCAAGCGATTCTCCTGCCTCAGCCTCCCGAGCAGCTGGGATTACAGGCACCTACCACCCACACCCAGCTAATTTTTGTATTTTTAGTAGAGAAGGGATTTCACCACGTTGGCCATGCTGGTATTGAACTCCTGATCTCAGATGATCCTCCCACCTTGGCCTCCCAAAGTGCTGGGATTACAGGCATGAGCCACCGCACCTGGCTCAGATATATTTTTTTCTATTCCAGTCCAGGCATACATGACTTGTCCCAAATACAATGGTAGTTTGCAGCAGAGCCAGAACTAATAATAATACTTCTGGCTGTTTGCCCAGTCTTCTGGGCACTTAGGAAAGGCTTTAGGATGAATAGATTACAGTCTGTTAGCAGTCATACCACTTTTCCACTAAAACAACTCTTTGAAAGATGACCAGTGACTTCCTAATAGCTAAATCCAAGATCAAGTCTCATTCCTCAGCCTCCTATACCTTTGCAGGAGCTGTGACACTCCTGACTCACAAAGTCCAGGTCCTGGGTCCACCTTGGCTCCCAAAGCCCCAAGAAATAGAAATCTGATCCTCCTCCTTCCCTGACTGCTTCATATCTGTCCTCTCAGGCTCTTTTTCTTCTTCCTGTCCCTTTTGTATATGTTTGGCTTCCTCTCTTACTACTCTCAAATACACATCTCCAGCTGGATATCCTGCCAGCAATCCAGCACATCTTGTTCAAAAACAAACTTACTATCCTCCCAGCCCCCAACCCAGGTCTCCTCCTGAGTCCTCTATTTCTGCAAATGCATCAACCATGCTCCAAAACACTCAGGTGCAAAACTTTGGAATTGTTTTTTCCTCTTTGGCCCTCTCATGCCTTCAGTTGCTATCTCTTCTAGACCCACAAAAATCTCCCCAAATCATGTCACTCTTTGTACATTAATTTCACTGCCCTGGTTGAACTTCTCTAATTCCCCTGGGCTAGCCCTAACTGGGCTACATCAAGCCAACCTACATACTGGTGCCAAGCACAAACCAAATGATGTTCCTCTCTTGCTCTAAAACATTCCATGGCTCCCATGGCATGTATAATTACAGTCAGCGTCACCCTGTTTTCCTTTTTTAAAAAAGTTTAGGCCAGGTGAGATGCCTCACACCTGTAACCCCAGCACTTTAGGAGGCTGAGGTGGGCAGATCACCTGAGGTCAGGAGTTTGAAACCAGCCTGGCCAACATGGTGAAACCCTGTTTCTACTAAAAATTCAAAAATTAGCTGGGCATGGTGGCAGGCACTTGTAATCCCAGCTACTTGGGAGGCTAAGGCGGGAGAATCTGTTGAACCTGGGAAGTGACCATTGCAGTGAGCTGAGACGGCGCCATTGTAACAAGAACGAAAACTGTTTATTTTTTCTTTTTTTAAGACAAGTCTTGCTCTGTTGCCCACATTGGAGTTCAATGGCGCTACCTGGGATCACTGCAACCTCCGTCTCCCAAGTTCAAGCGATTCTCCCACCTCGGCCTCCCAAGTAGCTAGGATTACAGGTGCCCACCACCACGCCCAGCTAATTTTTGTATTTTTGTAGAGACGGGGTTTCATCATGTTGGCCAGGCTGGTCTTACTATTGACCACAGGTGATCTGCCTGCCGGCCTCCCAAAGTGCTGGGATTACAGACATGAGCCACCATGCCCAGCTGAAACTCCTGACCTCAGGTGATCCGCCTGCTGGCCTCCCAAAGTGCTGGGATTACAGACGTGAGCCACCACGCCCAGCTGAAACTCCAAATAAATAAACAAAGTAACCAACTTTTAAAAAGGAGCTTTTTTTTTTTTTTTCTACAACAGAGCTCCAGTTTTCACCTTCCGTTTCATCTGGCAGTACTCCCTGCGTGTACTCTGTGTTTCCACATAAGAGGAACTGCACCTGCTCCCAAGGCTCCGCCCTCAGCTCAGCTTGCTCAGCTGCAAGCCTATGTTGGTGGCATTCTTCACCCCAGGAATGCCAGCCCCCCTCTCAGGCCCCCCTCAGTTCAGGACAGCACTCCCTACAGCAGCCTTCCTGACTCCCTAGGATCAGATGTGATTTGTTCTACATCTGAGTCTTCCCTGTTCGGAGAGGTTTTATTGCACCTTTTTAATAGTGCTTACTTCCTACCTGACCTAGACTGACTGTGTATTCCCTTGTGCAGAGACTTTGTGTGTCTTGTTTGCTTATACATAACAGATGTTCCAAAGATATTTGATAGAAACGAAAGAGAAAACCGATTCCTGTCCGGAAACCTTTGGATAGAAGAATCTACACTCAGTAGCCTGACAACTCTGCCTTAGCAAACAAGTTGGTCAAACAGATGCCTAATTCCTTAGCAAAGAGGAACTAACTTGAGTCCTTCCTGGTGAACTAACGCACTTTGCTTTAGGATTTTAACTTTTCATTTTAGAATAATTTTAGATTTACAGTAAGTTGCAAAGATAGTGCTAAGAATGCCTGTATTCCTGTATACCCTTTACCCAAATTCCTCTAATGTTAACATTTGTGTACAATTTATCAAAATTAAGACATTAACATGGCTACATGCTATTAACTAAACCACAACCTTTGTTAGTTTCTTCACTAGTGTTCTTTTTCTGTTTCAGGATCCAAACCAGGATACTGGCACTATAGTTTCGTAAGGCTCAAAATTAACAGAAAAGAAAAAAAGAAGGAGGGGAGGGAGAGAGAGAAATAGGGTCTCTGAAATCTATTTCTTAAATTTTTCCTTATCAGACGAGGCCAGTAAACTGGCTTTCAGGGAAAAGGAGCCAGTTTGGACAGTTTCTCCACAACCTGCAGAGTTTCCGCGAATCTGCGCAACCCGCCTCCCCATCCTCCCCACTGCCGGTTCCCACCTGGCAGGTCTGACCCCGGGCACCCTCTCAGCGTCTGTGGCGGGAAGTGGAGCCGGGACTCTGGCTACGCTAGCAGCGCTCTCCTCCCGCCGCGCCCCCGCTCACCGCCGCGCCCCCGCTCACCGCCGCGCCCCCGCTCACCGCCGCGCCCCCGCTCACCGCCGCGCCCCCGCTCACCGCCGCGCCCCCGCTCACCGCC